TTCCCACACTTCAAATTAAATTTGTGCCTGAGTAGACATCTAGGGTGAGGATCAGAATTTTTCTTTCTAATCTTCCAGTTTTGATAATCATCACTTTTCAAAGTATGTCAAAATTCATTTTTCACATCCATCTAACTTACAGAAAATTTTGAACGAGCTAAATATTTGTAGTAGATTCAATGTTTTCATTCCTCAATGAATATAGAAAGAAATATTCCAATCTTTGCTGAAAAACATACTATGTATGCCAATTGTTTTCCTGAATGTATAATACACAGATAGTATGAATAAAGTTAGATCCTTCTTTGATGGCAAGGAGTTGGAAATTATCTAAATTATCTAAATAAATATAATAATAATTTTCAAAATGAATAATGTGGACGTGAAAAATATCTGAATATTTTCAAGGTGAATGATAAAAATAAGGTAACTATGAAGGTAGCCAATGAGAGGGAATAGTAAGTGCTATTGTGAAGGGAGAGACATGCCCAATCTAAAGACAACAAAATTCAATTGTTCATAAACACAGTGCACTAATGAAAGCAATTATACTGGCTGGAGTCCCCCATGGCCATCAAGTTTTATCCTCAAACTTCAAAAGGAACAAATGCTTTCTAGTCAAAAGAGTTGGCAACAGCCAAATGATTGCTATTAATTTATGTGAACAAAAAATGTTTCAATCAGAAGTATTCCCAGAAAATTATGTAAAAAAATTTCCCAAAAAATATGTAAAAACCTGGGCTCACACTTTTAACCTGTTTCCAGCAATATATAAAGGCAAGTAAGCCAAGGTCAAATGATTCCATTCATGCATGCTGGTCTCTTTGCACAAGTGTCCTCAAAAAAGAAGAAAAATATCTCAAGCTAATGAAGCTAGAAACCACAAGTTAAGATCATTCTTAAAAGTATTCGTTTAAGAGTCACTACTTTGATCCCACCTCAAAAAAATTACCTTCTATTCATCATATGGTTTTTCTTGTATTTCTTTCTAGAACAGGGTTTCTCAAACTTGACATCAATGACATTTCCCATCTTTGTTGTGGGGAGCTGTGCCGTGCATTGCAGGACACATCCCTGACCTCCACTCACTAGATTCTCATAGCAAACTCCCTACTTCCAGTTATGAAAATCAAGAATGTCCCCAGAGTGGACAAAATGTCTTCAAGGGGCAAAATCACCCCAGTTGAGAAATACTGGTCTAGAGAAAGAAAGAAACAGTACTGTCAAGCACACGGCAACATTCACATGTACAGTTCCTGTGACTTCCCTGGTTAATTGGTATTAGTTATACAACTGATGTCAATCAATACTGGGACACAGCCACATACTGCTAAAGCCAAACCTTTAAAAATAACAAATTCTTCATTACTACAGCCAGCATATGAGGCCAGATGGCCCAATGGAATTTTCTGATAATCTTTCTTCATCTCAAATTGGACGAGGTGAAATTTTAGGATCTTTTATCCAATGATTCTTTATTTGTGCTTCTGTTTTTTTTTTTGTTTGTTTGTTTGTTTTTAATAGGGCACCTATTTCCTCAAATACAAATCAGTAAATAACTTCGATGATTTCACAGTGGTACAATGAGTTGGATCTATCCCCCTAGATACTCAGTGGCACAAAAATAAAACAACAAACAAAATCAAAAACACTAGGATGAGATGCAAGCTAATTAATGCTACCTCTATGCATGATATGTTAATGAATATTTGTTGGTTCTTGTCAAAACTACTATTTTGTAATGACCTATAAATAGATAGTTGGGCCAAAAAAATGTGTAGCTAACATATTCTTTGGAGTTATTCTGCTGCCAAGCATGAATTTTCTGTCTGTGTTTTAGACTTTTATTAATAGCATGTACTTAACTGTTTACAGATTTTTCAGAGATGTAAGATTAGACTCTTATCTCAATTATTCTTTTCCATATTAGAGCATGAGACCTTTTTTGTTACAATATCTTAACAGTATCTAAACACAAGGAGCTTGAACCCATGTTTACAACACTTTTCTAATTTCAAAAAGTGATTTGATAAAACAATTTACAGCCTCTGGTGTATTGGCAGCAGAAAGAGTAGAGCTAATACATATGAAACATATTCCTCATTATATCGTCATGAATGAGCTTTTGTCTGAAATAGTTCTGGCTTTAAGAGATAACATTTCCAAACACTTAGAAATGATTAAGAACAGTTTTGGGGCTAAATCAGTTCTTTCCCATTCTCGTATTCAAAAGTTATATGCACTCTAATTTCCTCCTTCATTAGAAATCCACCTAGCTTCATTCCAAAAGAATGCCTTAAGACAATTATTTCATTAAAAATTATGTTTTTCATTTCTGACAGCCATGCCCAATATTATTTTTACTCATAGAGTTTGTTAACTAAGATTACATAGCAAAAAGAACACAGTAATCATTTTTAAAATGTATTTAAGCTGGAAAATAGCAATATGATATTAAATTATCTTACTTTTTAAAGTAAACTGGTAGTCACTTTTTAGCATAAAGTGACTTATTAAGCATATTATAATCAATAATATGTTTATTTTATCAATTGACTTGGTACATTTTTATTACAAAGCTTTTAATACTTATATGATAAAATTAATTATGATTATAATTAAAATATTGCTAATAATTCAAAGAAAAGCCTGCAATATGAATAGAACTTTTGTGCCCTAATAACAGATTTTTTAAAACAGAATGTACTGGGAGAGAAAGCAGATCCAGACTTTAGCCTAACATAAACTTTAAAAACACAATTGTATTAAAAAGTGCTATCCTGGTGTTGTGAGAATATGATTCAACAAGTTCCTCTGAAATCATCTGAAATTATGATAATTCCTATTTTGTTTTCAGTTTTGAGTTACTGGATGCAAATATATGCCACCCTCCACTCCCTTAAAAATAACCCCCATCAAATTCAGACATTTCTGGGACTTATAAATTACTTAATTATCTGTGTCATGACATAAATGTCTTTAGAGAGTCTATGAATCTTAGAAGATCAGTAAATTAGAATATTTACTAAATATGACGCTGTGGTAATCAAAAGTCATGGTCAACATAGAAGAGAATAAAAATAGAACTCAAAGAGATTTTAAAAGATTTAACACAAAAACAAAAACAAAATGACATTAATTGGCACATGGAGAAAACCACAATGAGATGAGATGGGCGTGGTGTGTAATACCAACAAAAGAATTGGGATAATGAAATAACCAAAAGTTTTATTTGTTTTTTGTTTCTTTTTTGATGTATCATAGAGACTAAAAAAGCAATGAATAAATGCTGTGGAAAAGCCCTATAATTAGTGATCAGGGGAAAAAAACCTCATTAACTTATATAACGGAGTGAACAGTAAGGAACAGTCACATAACAGAATATTCATGTACTGAGTGTCCAGACTTAACCCGAGTGCTTGGCTGCTGGAGGCCTATAATCTCCATTAGAAAATGTTATTTTATGGTAAAGGAAAAAAAAAATTAAAATGCATTTAATTTCTGTTCCTCAAACCTATTTTAGAGAAAATCAATTCCCGTTGACTTTAATCAGGATATCATTAGGATGCCTTCTCATCATTACCAATTACTGCTTTCTGCCTCCCATCCTATCTTGCTACTAAGAGCTTCTTTTCCACTGCTGACAGTACCTCTCAATGACTCCCTGGCCTCTTCTCTAGCATCCATGAGGATGGTTCAATGAAGAAATAATAGGGTACTGCTCTATACTATTTATTAAAACTTTTCATGAGGGCTAATATTTCCCCAAAGGAAATCTATATCCTTAGAAAGAGAGCAATCTGCCTTATGTATTCTTTACATCCCACAAGAACCATAAAGAGTTGCATAGAGAGTAGCTGTTCTTCAGATAAGTGTGAATTAACTGATTGGTTGAAAAACAAAAACATCATTATTTTCTGCTAGTTAATAACCTAAATATTAATGTATATCCAATGGTTGTTTAAATTTAGCCTAGCAGATACATACCTATATTATCACTTAATTATTTTAATGACCATTTTGCTTAATACATAAAAATAGTAAACAGCAAAAAGTTCATGGTCCATCTTTTCCACTGGGCCATGCTATAAAAGTATGAAGATTAAATGTCTATTCCAAATGTATGAGTAGGAATAAGTTTTAAAAGAAGCCAATGATTTTGTTTATTGTTTTAATTTGGGGAGGTCTTCTGAGGCCCTGTACTGTGTTTCGTCTGTGTCATATGAATTCATCTAATAGGCAATATATTGAAACTTTAATTATACAAAATTGCGAGTAAATAACTATGCATTGCTTTTCTTTGGTGTTGGAGAGCTAGATTTTGAACACTGCAATACTTAATTCATTATTACTTATTCAATAAGAAATCGTTCTTTCTATCCTTAAGGGAACTGCATTTACCAGAAAGACAAAGGTTGTATTCTTTTATAAGACCAATGTAAATACATTCAGTCATTTGAAAAGTGTTGGCTAAACAGGAATACAAAAGAATAAAAATGGTATGGACAGAATCCTAAATTCTGAAAGTAAGATACATCAACCCCACCAGAAGGCCAGTTTACAAAGACTTCTTTCTGCATGATCCAGAAAACAACAGAATTAGAGAGAAGTCAGGAAGAATAAATTTTTAAAAAGGAGGGGGAATTAAAAGTTCAAGTTAATAATAACAGGATAGGCCAGCCATTTTTTTTTATTCTTGGCATTTGTATGACTAATCTTACATAGAAATTATTGGAAAAGTATTCTAAGCAACTATTATCATGGAAATATTCCCCCAGTTACTAAAAAGAATAATTGGGGAGAAAATGAAGCAGTTGTTCACAGGAGTAGTTTCTATCAATCGATCTACTGATTCTAATGATATAATGATATTCCAGGCCTAACTTTTCACCTGAAATACTTTACAAATGCTGGGGCTAAAGAATAGAAAGTTTTGTACATCTAGAGAACATTTTGAACAGTTCTGAAACGCGTAAAGTAATTAATTATTCATTACTTACAAAAGTTGTGTTTTCCAATAATAATGTGGTAGCATTTGTTTCTATATTCAGTTTAATGACATGTCCGTTCTCGCTTTTATACACCACATCTGTATCTGCAACAACAAAGACATTGACAATTGACAAATACATTGACTAGGTAACATAATTACTGTAGGGGAGAAAATGTGCATAATCAACAGACACATTGGAACAATCATTGTTAGCCTTCAATAACCCGAGCAGATTTCTGTATTTGGCTCACATTAATTCTCTTGAAAGATCAGGAAGCCCGCCTAACACATGGTCTATTGTGCAATGAACACAGGGTTAGTGAGAGGGCCACCCAGATTCATGGTTTAACAAATGAAAATTAATTAAAATATGGGCAATCTGCTGTGCATTCTGAGGTGAGAAATTAGGAACAAAGAAAAGTGCCTCCAGTCTCCAAAGTAAGCTATTACTGATCAGGGATCTAGTTTTTTAATTTGCAACAAAGGCTGCCAGTTGACTATAACCATACACAGTTCTAAGTCTCCTTGTGTCAAACCATCCACTTGCAGACCCATTCATTTATCCAGTCCTTCTATTAATCACCACTCAATTCCTCTTCAACCTCTTGAATTTTTTTCTGGTTGACAATTTTTTCTCCATTATTTTATCTGGCTTGTGTGATCACAGATCAAAATCTCTGAGGTTGTTACTATATCATTGAATCTACTTTATCCACTTTAGGAGAATGATGTCTTCATTTTAAATAGCTGCTTTCTTCTGGATGGTTGATTTTACATATTTTTGACTTAAATTTAGCTTAGGAAATTAAATCACCTTAAGAATATCTCAGACCAAAAATATTAACTTGAGGGAAAACTGACAGAGTGTATATGAGGATACTAAGAAGTTAAAAAGATGTGTGTGTATGTTTAGGTAAAGGGCAAGTAGTTTTGAATACTTTCTTCTTCTTTTTATCAATGATAATCTCCTTTCCAGAATTACCCAAATCTAGGCTTTTTCATGGTATTGCATACACATCCCTCATTCCCTACCCATTCTTGGAAGCAGGGAAATATAAATGGACATTGGATCCACTATTTATATTGAATGAATTTATATAATTTGCAATCTCTCTGAACCTCAATGTCATCACCTGTGAACTTGAAAAGCAAACACTGGATGGTGAATTATGAAGATTAACTTCAATAACAAATGTGACAGTGTCTAACACTTTTGGCAGAACAAGATGTTCTAACCCTTTCTCATGTTATTTCAATATTATTAATAGTTAAACGTAGAATTTATATGATGAGAAGCAACCAATACTAGCAAAAATTAAGTTTGTTTTTATTCAATGTTGCATTCAAAAGACTGAGTCCAATATGACTCTCTTATTGTTAGGGTAGGAGACTAAGAGACAGGGCTGCGACCAAATGCAGAGGCTTGAAGACTGGGCACAGGTGTTAAGTAAACAATCTTAAACAAAAGGGGCTAATAACTGCAGGCATGAACCAGCTTCAGCCGGCTTGCCTCTGTCAATCTAGTGAACTCTGGGTGATAATAATATCATTTACATAGTGGTTTTAAAATTCCACCACCCTTGAAGTCTATGAAAATGGGAGGGAACCCAATTTTAGGAATTACTACCCAAATTCTTAATGACAGCCAGTGTTTGAATATTCTTCCCCTCAATTAGTAAAACTACAAAATATCTAAAACCACTTCCTCTCCTCAATTAGTAAAACTATAAAAGATAAATCTAAAACCACTTCCTCCCAGTGTAGCTCCTTTCCAGTGAGCCTGCCTGCTCTCTTTCCTCTGAGAGTGTCCTTTCACTTTCAATAAAAGCTGTTGCTCACTTGGCTTACATGGTACATACTGAAATTCTTTTTCCAATCATCACCAAGAACTTGGAAAAACCTCTACTCAGAGTCTGGCAACACTATTACAGTCATGAGTGGCACAGAGGGTCAATAGTTTTTCTTGACTTTAAACAAACATATGGGGGTAGTGACATGTTGTAACTGTGGCCTGGGAGATAGGAGAAGACAAATGGCCTTTTAAGAAAGGAGGAACAAGATAAAGAAGGAAGGGATTTTACCATTACTGCCTGAGGCTGACTGTATGTACTAAATGGTAGTTCTATATATCTTTCAAATGCCTTATTATCACCTACTGAACTACTGCTATCAGCTATAAATAAAATGGATCCTTTTTTATCACTAACTTTACCTATTGTCCTTTTTAGTGATGCACAACAAATAACAAGTTTACATAAAAATAAATATTTGTTTTGATTTATGTTCCATTCCTTTCTTCTCTTTCCTTTCCATCATATATGATGATTGTGTCTCAACAGCAACACTGATCACCTGCAATGCTCATTTGGTCTTGTCAGGTAGTTTGATCTCCTGTCTTTATGCTTTCAATTAATGCTTGCTGAAATCAATAGTCTAGCCCCAACCTTGAGTTCCAAACCCTATTCTCTGTCTGAAATTTTTTTGATTATTTTCAACTCTGAACCACTTTTTAATTTTGATGAACATATCATCATAGATTAGCAAGAAGAGCCAATTAGCATCCCCTGACTAAATCATCCTTACACTATTGTCTCAACAAATTAAAAGAAAATGAATTTGCCTCCTTCCATTGCACCATGGAGATAAATATGGCAAAAAGATATTTAATGAGTGATTCTTCTCCCAGGAGGAAAGCATACTGCAGAATCCTAAATAAGGATGAGGCCTGTGATTTTAGAGAGAAGGAAGAGGTCAGAGGGCAATATTGGTATGAATGGTGGTTCTGGTCAAGGGAAGAGAAAAAAGTAGCTCATAGTGCCATAGTTTCTCATAGTAAGGGGAAACCCTTAGTGAGCGATGGGTTGTTATTAGGGGTGGAGGAAAAAAAAAAACTAGTCATCCTTTCACTTAGAAGGAAGTGAAACTTCTTTGAAAGGAAAAAGACTATACTTAATATTAATTTTTAAAAAGTCAATTTTATTGGATAATTATTTGGACTTGAGGAAAATCTGCAGAGTTGAGATTTGTAAATACCTTTAGATCTATACTCCTGCAAGTTTTACTATTGGATCTTTAATGTTTTATTAGCAGGAAAAGCTTTTTTCTAATTCAAGTGTAAATTTCTTGCATAATATTTAATAAAGATTTTTGCATGAATTATTTTAAAAGCATCTAATATCTGCCTTTATTAATTCCTTCAGATTTTTTTTCCTCTTCTTTATAATTTGCTCTTCTGGGTCTCATATTTATCCTACTTTACTGTTTGATTTATAATCACTACTGGAATCTACCAGTTTTGAAACTCCTGTTACTAGATTAATAAATAACCTTCTGGAATTGCATTTCTAAGCTGTCTACCTTATAATTTGTTTAATATTAGGTAATAAAGTTTGAGTGAATAATATCAATGAGTAAAGTGCATTAACACAGGAAAATTAAGGTAGGTGTACTTGAAACATTCTAAAACACAACATTATGCATATCTATACAGTACTTTGATTAAGTAATCTTTTCTTCTTTTCAGCTCATTGACAGTTAAGAGCCAATTATCCTGAACACATATTCAACTCAGTCAGTTTTTTTAAATGAAAATGTATGGCAGGATAGAATCACTGTGTAGTCTATCTATCCTGAGATCCAAGCAAGCATTTTCACTCTGCAATATCCGTAAATAATCATTACTGTCATTTTTGTCCAATTCTTTTTTCCATAATTTGGCTAACAAAATGGAAAATATAGTAATATATCCTAGTTTAAAATCTTTCAGGTAAATGCAATCTTATGTTTTATACTTCTTTCACAAAAAGCAGACAGTAAAGCATTTCACATTGTACTGATAGTTTAGTTCTTGATGTGGTATCGAAATTTATAACTGAGACTCACACAGCCACCTTAACCATCAGGACCAAGAACAAGGTCAGCCTGCATTCATATGATTTTACTATTTGTTCGAAGAATTTCTTGTCCTTGAAGTTAAGGCTATAAATCAGCACAGAATCTTAATTTTTTTTTTCCAGGAATTCGCTGGAAATTAGTTTATCTAAACCATAAATTTTAAAATTGGGAAAATTGCTCAATTATCAAACAACTCACTTCAGGATTCTTGCCTTTATGTGTTCACCAATCCTAAAGTATTTCCTCATGAAATGTGCCCAACCACATCCAGATCCTCACGTCGAAGGAACTGTCTTAGCTACTCAAAACCAGATCCAACTCTATTCTTATCTCCCCATAATCCCTCCTTTTGGACATTCACGGCTCTTCCAAAATGTTGTCTTCCCTGATTGCAGTAGGTAATAAAAAACTCAGCGTTGCTGAACAGGTTATTCTGATGTTCTTCTGAGAAGATGAAGTTGACTTCATCTTCCGTGTATATAAATATAAAGTCACCTTATTGGTTTTTGTTGATCTTAATATTTATAATGTAAGCATGCATTTAATTTTCACATGATAATTTGCTTTTAATATTTCAAAATTAAATCTATCCTTATCTCTCTCTCTCTTTCTCATATCTATCTCTATATAGAGAAAGAATTTTCAAGAAGTGGAAAAGCATCTTGGCAAATCAGTTCTCCGAGACATTTTAATCCAAGCATGATCTTTATTTTAAAACAATTTATTTTTGATGTATCTAAAATAAAAATAATATAGCATCCCATGTTTTTAAAAGAAACCAAATTCAATCAATAAACTGAGCAATTAAAAATTAAAACTGTGGAACAAAATAATAATATGATTATCACAAAAAATGTTCAAATAAATTTAGGAAGGGCTTCTTAAAAATCTGGTTAAAATTGCATTCATTAATTAAACATATCAGTGATAAATCTAGAATATTGTGCATTCATAATTCAAACACAGCAGGCTCCTCAGTCAACTCTCCTAAAACTGCTCACAACAATGAGAAAACTGAAGCCATCAGAAGTAGCTTTATTTCTCTATCTCTCTATCTTAACATCTCATTCCATACACACTCTTCTTTTCCCTCATGCTTCTGGTAAGAGGGGATCTTTCTCCTTTGCAAAGAAAAGCTCTGGTTTATAACCAAATCAATGTTCTTCGAGCTCTTAGAAATCTTTGATTTCTGCTTCCTCTTGTCGGCT